AGAGAGAGAGAGAGAGAGAGATAAAGAGGTAGGGATAGAGATAGATAGATAGATAGATAGACAGAGAGAGGTAGGGATAGAGATAGATAGATAGATAGATAGATAGATAGATAGATAGATGATGGATAGATAGATAGATAGATAGATAGATAGATAGATACAGATAGAGATAGTGATAGAGATATAGACATAGACAGAAGTTAGATTGCCAGAGTTGTTGAGTGAATCACCGCCGGTATTAAGTCAGTAACCCGGTCATTAAGCAAATCCAGCTTCCCCCATTCAACTTGGCTGGTCAGAAGGTCGCCAAAGGGGATCATGTGATCCAGGGACATTGTGACCATCATAATACGAGTCAGTTGCCAAGCGTCTGAATGTTGATCCCGTGACCCTGGGGAACGCTGCAACGGTCGCAAGTGTGAAAAACAGTCACAAGTCCCTTTTTCCAGGGCGGTTGTAACTTTGAACAGTCACTACATGAACGGTCGGTCGTAAGTTAATAAACTACCCGCGGAGCTCAGTTAGCAGCAAACTCGGAGAGTTTCGAGTCTCCTTCTGCTATGCCAAGAGCAACCAGGATTAAATCAACTTCAATAACCCCGGAAGTTACGAATGCTCGAACCCTGGAAGTTTTTATGGAGAGATTGGACAACCATTTGTCTGACGTGGTGGAGGGCAGGGGTGGGATTCGGACTGGTTCGGGCGAACAGGTTTCCTGCCTAAGCGGGGGGGCGGGGGTTGGACTAGAAGACCTCTAAGGTCCCTTCCAACTCTGTGATTCTGTGTTCTAAGAGCTGCGAATCTTAGGGAGGCCTTGTGAAATGATAAATCTTTAACAAACCAAGTAAAAAACACCCAGAGCGACATCTTTTGCATCAAGAAGCTATCTCATTTTCACAATATTGATGGACCAATAACTTACAGTGATGGTTTTAGGCTGCAGGTGGTTAGGAAATGAAAAACGATCACGAAATTTAGGCATCCGCTGTTTAGAAAAGAGAGAGAGAATTATGAAGATTTTGATGAATAGTTTATTATTATTATATTAGCATCATCTCTCACTCCTCTCTCTTTCTCTTTCTCTCTCTTTCTCTTTCTCTCTCTTTCTTTCCCTCCTCTTTCTCTTTCTGTCTCTC